CAAAGACTGTGAAAAAGAGACATGACAGAAATGAATGGATAGAAAGAGTTCTGTGGTGGTGGAAAGAGATTCCTAGGCTCCCACCCCTACAAAGAATATGACCCATAGGAAGAAAATCAGACAGCAGTTTATCTAGGAAACCCAATATCCAGCAGAAGACTCAGAAAGAATATAAAGGATAGAACTACTTTTTGTTTTGTTTCTGTTTTTCAAGACAGGGTTTCTCTGTGTCGTCCTGGTGCCTCTCCTGGATCTCACTCTGTAGACCAGGCTGGCCTCAAACACAGAGAGATCTGCCTGGCTCTGCTTCCTGAGCGCTGGGATTAAAAACGTGTTCCACCACCGCCTGGCACTAGAACTACTTTTTTTATTTTTATTTTATAATCAATTTTACATATCAGCCACGGATTCCCATCCTCCCTCCTCCCACCCCCGGGGCCTTCCCCTCGAATCCACCCCCATTCCCACCTCATTCAAGGCAAGGTCTCCCCTGGGGATTCAGCTCAGCTTGGTAGATTCAGTTGAGGCAGGTCCACTCCCCTCCTCCCTATACCAAGGCTGAGCAAAATGCCTCAGAATAGGCCCTAGGTTCCAAAAAGCCAGCTCATGCACTAAGGACAGGTCCCAGTCCCACTGCCTGGAGGCCTCCTAAATAGTTCAAGCTAATCAACTGTCTCACTTAGGGCAAAGGACACAGTCAGCAAGACAAAACGACAGCCTACAGAATGTGAAAAGATCTTAAGCAACCCCACATCTGACAGAGGGCTGATATACAGAATATATAATGAACTCAAGTAACTAGACATCAAAATAACAGTCCAATTAAAAAATGGGCTATAGAGCTAAACAGAGAATTCTCAACAGAAGAAGCTCAAATGGCTGAAAGACATTTTAGGAATTGCTCAACATCCTTAATCATCAGGGAAATGCAAATTAAAACGACTCTGAGATACCATCTTACACCCGTCAGAATGGCTTAGATCAAAAACCCAAGACCCAGTAAAATTCTACTTCTAGGGTCATACAGGTCATACATAAGCAAGCAGTCACATGTGTACACAAAGTGAAATAACAGAAACATTGGCAGTTTTGGCTAAAATGGCAAGGATGATAGATGTAGAGGGCTTAGAAGCCCATTCATAAAACAATTAGGCTGCAATTCGCTGAAGGGCAGTACCTGACAGTACAGGAAAAAAAAAAAAAAAAAAAAAAAAACCTGACCTGTTTATGTCTATCAATGAGAACAGACCTCAAAATTTATCCAAGTAGGCTTTTTTTCAAAACTACATGTAGGGCTGAAGGCAAGGCTCAGGGGTTAATAGCACTGATTGCTGTTGCATAGGACCTGGTTTCAATTCCCAGCATCTACATGGCAGCTCACAACCAGCTGTCACTCATCTTGGGGGATCCACTGCCCTCTTCTGGCCTCCACAGGCATTGTATGCAGATGGTACACAGACAAGGATGCAGATAGAACACCCATACACATAAAATAAGATTTAAAAAAAAAATCTTTCAAAGCTACTTGTAGAATTATATAGGTTGTATTGCCTATATATTCTACCTATAAAAATGAACTCTGTGTATACAAGGAATCCATCCATGTTCAGTTGCTCTGACAGATTGTAGACTATGTAAAGAGTGAAAATAAAGTCAATACAATAAAACAACTACTGGGTTTTGTTGGGGAAGGGTTTTTGTTCTGGTTCTGTTTTTTCATTTGTTCCTTGAGACAAGGTCTCTGTATATCCCTGGTTGACCTGGAGCTCAATATACAAACCAGACTGGCCTTAAACTCATAAGAGATCTGTCTGTCTCTGCCTCTCTAGTTGCATTATTTGAGGCATGTGCTACCGGCTACAGGAGCTATTTGTTCAGAGATGGTGTTTGAATAACTCTTTACTCTTTTCTGTAATTGCAGAACTTGTCAAAAAAAATCCAGAATTAAAAAAGAAATATCAAACTAGGTCTGTAAAGACAGTGAGCCCTCCTGGTGAATATACCATGTAGGGGTCACAAAACCACAAGAGGCCCAACCTCAGGGATAGGTAAGAAGACAAACATTTTCAGTCTAGAACTGCAAATGAAAAACACAGAAGCTGAAAGGATATTCTGCAGTAGGCACCAGTTTTCAATGAAGCCCTCACCACCAAGAGCAGGGAGGAAATAGGGTTCAGTGTTCGCTGAGGCACCAGGGTCAGACTGCTGAACACAGGTAACGCTCACAGGCCCAGCTTATATTTTCCATATGGTGGAAAGACTTGCAGAGATGTCGAACTCAAATTCTTACAAACATTCTTGCATATACTACTTTGTATGTACCATGTGCCTCTACCCAGGCATTCTAAAACACTTCCTAGGGTGTTTACACACTCACCACACATTTAAACCATGAGCCTAAGGATGATAAGCTAGGTCTTAGCTTTCTTCTAGAAAGGATGCTAATAATCTGAACTCAAGTTTGCTCCTTCATGGAACCTGTGGCATTCATAAGGCCTCCCAAATGGCCTTTCATTATTAATACTTTCTATTTTGTTTGGGGCTATTTTACATTTTTAATTTATTATTATTGTGTGCGTATGATATGGGACATATGCCATGGCACATTTGTGGATCAGTTCTCTCCATCCACCAAGGATTGTTGGATGGCAAGCACTCCACCTGCTGAACCATCTCACCAGCCAGCCATGTTTGTTTGTTGTTGTCATTTAGGGACTAATATTTATTTTTATTTATGCATGTGTGCCTGTGTGAATGTATGCCACTGTGTGCCAGTGCCAGCCAAATCCAGAGATGCTCTGGAGCTGAAGTCACATGCAGATGTGAACCACCTATTATGGATGCTGGGAATCAAACTCAGGTACTCTGAAGAGCAGTAAATGCTCTTAAGAATGGAGCCAGGTCTCCGGCCCCAACCACTTTTTTTAAGACAGGGCCTCAAACTCACAGTTCTCCTGCCTCCAAAGTGCTGTGATTATAGGTATGCACTACCATCCCTGGCTATTATTAGCATTTTAACACAAGCTCTTTGCAGAAAAAAAAAAAAGTCAACCTTCACACATGAATGATTAATACACACCACTCATGTTTGCCAAACATAATATTTGTCATGCAGAAATTCTCAGTGGATCAGTACAGAGAGCATTACCTATTTGCTGGAAATTTTCAAGCAAACTGGGGTATTTCACTAATATTATTTCCCCTATTTCTTGAAAGAACAGGATCTAGGGTCAGGCTGGATGAAATTTTACTGATGTATTTCCAAGAATGAATTCAGCTGAGAGATGGCAGCTTTTGATATTTTCACCAGGTGAATGCTTTATTTCAGTAATTATTTAACTTGGAAAGAGCCACATGGGGACAGGAGGTGCACTGCGTTCCTCAAGATCTTGCTTAATTAAAAAGTCATAGCTGGCCACAATGATAGGTATGAATGCCTATAATCGCAGCACTTGGGAGGCAGGGGATCTCTCTGAGTTCAAGGTCAGTCTGGTCTACATAGAAAGTTCCAGGCTAACCAGGACTACACAGTGAGACCTGATCTCAAAAACAAAAACAATCAAAATTCAAGTCCAAGTTTCCAACAGGGAGAATTCCAAAGCAATGACCTGGAAAGGGGGTCACAAGCATGTTCTCAGAAATCACAACTCTTCAGACATTACAAGGTATTGTTATTTTAATTGTTTTATTTTTCTCAGCAATAACTAGTCGTTTTCAGAAACTCTCACATAAGAATCACTGAGCACAGCACAGTGATTATTCAAGCTTCTTCGTAGCATTTGATTCTGGCTAACTGTTCCCCTGACCCTTACTCGGGACCCATCTACCTTAGCCTATCTTCACTGCTGGTGACTTTGTTATAGGATCTGAAAATGGTGTTCACATTGAGACAGCAGTGAGCCTTGGCCCCCAAAGTTCTGATGCCAGATAACCATCACCCTGCATCACTCCATCCAGGCCCTTCTGCTTCTTGGGGATAGCGGTACTGCCATGTGGTGACAGCACGTGTTCAATGCAGCTCACCTGTCAGCTTTGAAACTGTAGGAGGTTTTATTATTTTCTTTTTAATTTGAGGAAAGGCATAAAGTTAAATAGAGATGTTACTTTCAAACATTTAAATTTTTTTCTTTTTTTTTTTTTGGTTTTTCGAGACAGGGTTTCTCTGTGTAGTTTTGTGCCTTTCCTGGAGCTCACTTGGTAGCCCAGGCTGGCCTCGAACTCACAGTGATCCGCCTGGCTTTGCCTCCCGAGTGCTGGGATTAAAGGCATGCGCCACCACCGCCCGGACAAACATTTAAATCTTAGTATCTCACCTTTGCTTGCTTCATTGCTTCATTATTTTAACTCACAAGTAAAAGACCTAAATAGTCAAACTACTTTTTCCTACCTTTCATAGCAGGGAGCAAACAGAATATGTGCAAATTTGACTAAGTTTTAAAAAATAAATTTCTAAAAATTATCATTCAGAAACATCAAGATTTAAGAAACTGAAAACAAGAAAAAATAACTGTGCCTGAACCATGAAAAGAAACTCTAGGGCATTCTGAAATATGAACTGATGCATGGAGGCTGCCAAGACACTTAGTGTTTAAACACACTTTAGCATTTAAATACACTTGCTGTTCTATCATGAGGACAAGGTTCCAATCCCAGCATCCATATCGGGCAACTCACAAAAACTCACAAATACTTTAACTCCAGCTACAAAAGACTCAACACCCTCTACTGGCATCCTTTGGTACCTGGGTGTACGTACACACACACACACACACACACACACACACACACACACACACACACACACACACACACAC